GAGAAATAAGGGGTGACGGATAATTGGTACGACCAGCCTAATTTAGAGGTAGCTGGCACCCGGCAGAGAGGCAACTTTAATGAGGTGCGAAAACTTGGTGCCTAGCTGCGAAGTGACCTCATTAACGAGCGAGGGCTGACAGGTCATCTTGTTATCCACATGTTGACATAATAAGTGATAGATGATCAATAAAATGACGAGAGAGGTCAATGAAATATGTATAAGGATTACCTACACAATTAGATAACGAACCGGTCCCAATTAACTATTGCGCTCTTGATACACTATTGAGGAAACTCTTGCTGAAAGTTGGGCTACGGGTTCACTCGATGCCCTGTTCACGAGCACGGCACTCACATCTGACCATGACGCAACTCATCGCTGATTTGGTGCAGGAGATTTTTTAGCACTATTGAACTATTCCTAGAGCTCGGCTCGAAACGGCTTCTCTTCAGCAAACTTTTCACTCACTTTTTGGCATTCCCAGAAATGCGGAGCAAAAATTGAACCGAGTTTGTGATTCTTTTATGGACCCCTACGTCGTGCAGAAATTATTTTAAATGCGCGCCACGACCTCAATAACTGTGAGGCCCTCTCTCCTAATGAGGTCAAACTTCGCAGCTAGGCACCAAGTTTTCGCACCTCATTAAAGCTGTCTCGCTGCCAGGTGCCAGCTACCTCTAAATTAGGCTGGTCGTACCAATTATGGCTAACCCGCTCTGGAGGAGCTCCTAGTTTGGGTTAAAGGCGTGCTGAACGCATGCGCGCAACCGGAGAGCAATACTTTTCCTTGCTAACCGTATTTACCATAAACTTTCTCTGTATCATTCCACTTTCCTTAAGACGTGGGAGCGTTCTAAGGCTATAGCACTGGTAAGTGCCGTTGAGCTGAGCGGACCTCCTAGCGTAGTGGGTAGGCACTCGCCTGCTAAGCGTGGCGTGCGGGTTTGAATCCGCCTGACATTTTATTTTTGCCCACGACTCAGCATTTCTGTAATTGACAGAGGCTTCTTGTGGGCAAAATGCTAATTATAATAAAAGGAGTTTCTTGTGATTGGCACTAATATTTCGGGACGCATTCTGCGATTATTTGATTGGTAAAATCACTTCCTTGGTACAGGTTTACTGGTCTAAGGACTTCGATTCTGTTCCTCCCATCGCGAAAAAGGGCAATGGTAGTGTTGGAGTCGGCTTCTGAAGTTGAGGGAACCCATCGGTGCGTTGACGCAAGGAGGATTCTCATCCCACAAGTTTGCTTTTGGGGCGAGCGATCCTAACCTACAACGCAGCTGTTCGTCGCATGGCTATGCGGGACCTGACCTGGCCTGCCGTTCCTCTAATCGTCGCATTTCGTTTCAAACTGTTCTCAGAACTGCGTGGGGCCAGTGCAAGCAGTTATCGTCGCTTTTCCGAATTCTTGTCCAATCCTGAGACCTTATTCAGGACGATTTCGATAGTTCTGTCCACTCTTTTCATCTTAACCAACCAGCATCTAGAAAACCATAGGCTACGAAGCCAACGTAATGCAGGGTACAGCATATGAGGGGTTTCTTTACAACCCCTATCCAAAGACTGCTATAGAACAGCGAAACAAGCTGCCCTCAAATATCAGTCCCACTGTGGTCACTCAAATTGCAAGACTCCAAGCAGTTCCATTATTATGAAGATTCACGCGGTTCTTAGAGGGCTTTGAACTGACGAGATGGGAGCTCTGCTTTGAGAGGGCCCTTCAATTCCTTCACTGCTAGCCACTTGCTTGCCACGGATAAGTCTGTGAAGTACGTGATTGCGTCAGCCACACTTGTGGACGTTTTCACTTACGCAGTGTTTAACTGGGCCATATTCGCCTGTGTCGAAATGTCGTCGTCGGATGGGTGCTCCTTGTATCACATATATCTTGATCACGAAGATGTCATCAGCACCACGGCTACTGGCGTCGGCTAACCCGATGGTCACTTAAGAAAAAGGTCCTTTTTATTAGTTTTTTCGGGACACATGCACCTATTTTTCATCGTCATATATATTATTCACCTCGTGCGCATTATGGCTGGCCTGTGTTTCGCACCTCTGGTACGTACAAGGCTGCAGTAATCATAATCCTTTTAAAAGCTTCAATTTTGGGAGCGGAGGCGGTGTGGTGTGCAAGTGACGCCTCACCGCGTGCCAGCCATTGGCGAAAACCGCTTCGGCTCCAGGCCAACCTCTCGGGAACTTCGTAGCAAGATTCGTGGAGGGATGAGAGCTCAGGCCTCTACATCGATCCGCCTTCAACTGCGGTTGCAGAGACCACCGCATGTGCGGATGTTAAGAAGAGGTTGATCAATGGCAAGGACTAATCTTATCCTTATTCTTTATCCTTGTTGCCTTTTAGTGTTGATACGCTTATAGAATGGTTTCAGATTTTTGTTTACGGAGGGTCAACGATACTCGTCGGTAGTGGAGCGGCCATTTATCGTGCTGTAGATTCTATTGAAGACGTAAAACAAGTCGGACTCATTCGGTTCGGAAGAGCAGCAATTGCCGTAAGTTTCTTATGCCCATTTGTTCGAATTTCATTCCGTGTGCCATCAGTACCTTGCTCCGTGGTAAGATGCGCCTGTCACTTGCGGCGCTCGTCTCGATCAGGTCAACCATAGGCGCAGGGTTCATGGGTGCAATTCAGGGGGTGGTTAACTGATAACAAACTTAGCTGGATGTTTAATCATCTATCCAGACTGTGCACGCCATTGTAGCTCATCGAATCGGTATAAACAGATGCCCCGATTCCGCTGAATTCAAGTCAGAGCTCCGGGTAAGGGCTCAATGAAGCATATGAGTTTAAGCCCACATTTCATTGCTAATAAACCCATATAATAAGCATTTATCTGAAAAAAGAAACAGTATACCAGAATTGTTGTAGGAACCATATAGCATGCTGTGTGAGAACATCAACTCCTTTTCCCTGTTGAGACCGCTGAGAGGAGTGCGCCGCGTCCATTTATGCGTATCTCAAAAGATAGCAAATCAACAGACTCCACGAATCGGGTGAGCTCACGCAGTGAAAACGCATAGGCATCGATCTGGAGAGTCCACGGCTCCTGAGAGTGGGCGAATCGAGAGAATACGCGAGTCGGCTCACCCCTCCCACTAGCTGATTGGAGCAGAACATATCATCGTTGTGGAAACCGGTAACGGGAGTATTTTCCCCTCAGAGGAAATTTTAAATTTTTTTGATTGTTAGGTTAATTACTGTTCCTGTATCATGTGCGCTACTCCCCCCCCCCCGCCCTCCATCGCAAAATTACGAAATCATTCAGAAGAAAAAGCAAAGAGATGGGTTGCGAAAGGGTGTTGTAACAAAGGGTGTTGCGAAAGGGTATTGTGGCCGAAAGAGACTACTCAGGAAAGTAGTTCAATTTTTACAAAAACTTCAATTTCCATTTATTTGCGCAAACTGGATGAAGGAAGCGTTTCTCTTATTCGCAGCCCACTTCACGCACGGGGCTGTTGGTATACTAGTACTTACTTGTACTCGATGTTCCGACAAGGGCTTGTAACTCTTACACGCGCCGTTGGGCATTGCCGTCTGGTACAGGCATCGGAAGAGGCATCCTCATGCTTTCAATAAACGCCTTCTTCGCTGCTCATCTCTTTCTTAATATCGCAAAGGCTCGAAAGGACGAATAGCTGCTGCAGCATCCGTTCTACATATTATTTCCTTAGTCTTTCATTCAGCTCTAATGCTTGTGCTGTTTTGCGCGTCCTTGGGATAGGTAAAAGACGTATCCTACAGTGCGACGAGAAATCCGAAAAGTAATTTCTCGCCATGTCTGTCTGTGTTCTTAATTTCATGGATTTAGGTAGGAAATATTGTTGTGGACTACAAATCGTCGCTGAGAGGACTCTACGACCCATCTGAGGAGTACAATGTGGCAATCAAGCAGTGCCATAAGCGAAGTGCTTTACGCCTACTTGAGTTGGCTTGTGCCAATGGCGGTGTATTCATAAAGGTTTGTTCCCTGCCTAATAATGCATCTCATTCACTCTTGAATTCATTTTTAGGCTCTATATTTCTTGCTTCCTCTTCCGCTTGTAGCGTCTTTTGTTTTTTTATGCATGTATTCATATTTACTGTTGTTTAGGTGGGACAACATTTGTCAGCCTTGCAATACCTTATACCAGAAGAGTACACTTCCACCCTTTCCGTATTAACTTCAAGAGCTCCAGAAGCAACGTACGACGACGTGGTCTATGTTGTAGAATCACAGTTGGGGAAAAAGGTGATCTTCAGTTTTATAGTTATTTTTGATAGATCCGAAAAAGCTTCATCCAAGCTTTCTGCCCTTTTCCCTATAATTCTCTTCTTTTTGTATCGGTCCATCTTAGCGGACACGAACGAATATGGAGCTCTTAATAGAGATCTCTTTCTCGCGGCTGACAAAAGTAGTTAACTGTGTCTTGATCCTCCTAAGTAAACACGAACCTCCCGCGAATTTACATCAGGAACATTTATATCGAGTACGGCACATCGTACGCTGGGGAATCTTCCGTGGGTGCTCGCATTTGGTCGGAAGGAGGGTGAGGACATGTCTGGCCTGAGGGTTTATTGATGCTTAATTTTTCCTGTTTCGCGCGCTATGCGCTATTGCGAGACCCACAGTGCGCGAGGGGGGGGTTGGCGGGTTGAATCTAGCTCCAGGTTTTTTTTGTGTTCGCAATCCTGGCGGCGCAGTCAAAGTCGTATAAATACTAATTTAGATAGCCGAAATCAGGAAAACTGTGGTTATTTGGTTGCGACCCTCTTTCCCTCCGCTCTAGCAGCGGAATTACGGGGCAAAACTGAAAAAAATTCAAACAAAAATTCAGGTGGCATAATAATGAGATGTCTGGTGTTGTAAAAGATTTTTGATTTTTTAGGTTGACGATGTCTTCTCCGAATTCGCCGAAAAGCCCATTGGAGCTGCTAGCCTCGCACAAGTTCATGTCGCAAGATTGAAGGTAATTGCTTGAACTGATCTGCTTATTCATTCTTTTTTCTGTTATTCTTGATCGTTCAAGGAAACAAATGAGAAAGTCGCTGTGAAAGTACAGCATCGTCGAGTGTTCAAAAACAGCCGTACGGACATGAATACTATGGATGTGAGTTGAAAATAAAAACAGTTCTTTCTTTTTTCCTTTTTTTTCGTATTCAAGTATGAACATCGTGTAATTGGCAATATAAATGAAGCCCGAAGGTCCTAATGTAAAGTGTTGAAGAGGCAAACTAGCGCTCGCGATTTTTATCTCGAAATTAGGATATAACATTGGAGAAATGGTACTATTATCTCTTTTCTCTGACTAGATGTTGGGTGGGCTAGGAGACGACTCTGGGTAAAGCTACAATGTATGGCGCATCATAGAAAGGGTTAAAGACAGCCCCCGCGCTCAAGAAGTACATGGTCGTCCTTCCTTGTGCAAGTAGTACAGCCCCCAAGCTAGAGACTATCCCACTCTCGCAACTCCACAGCGAGCGATTAGCGAGCTACAGCCGCTGAAAGTTCTAGTTCTAACGCCCGCCCAGTTGGACCGCCCACTTGCTAGCCCTCTGAGGCATTTACTGGAATCGCATGCCCTTTTCGCTGACCGCGCTTGTGCCCATGAATGATTCTGCTCTCCTTTATCACATTTTATTCATTAGGGGCACATACAGTCAACTCCAACCCATTTCGCAAGGTAAAACGCGTAAAAATCACGAGCGACCCAATTTTCGTGGTGCAAAAGCTAGACGCACTTCACTTACGCTACCGTAACCCTTAATACAGACGCCTAGTTTTCGAAAGTTTCTTTTCCTTTTCAGGAGTTTTTTCCCTGTTTTTGTTGTTTCGTATTCTTTTGTATTCTTCTTATTGCATTGAATGATACCCTCTACTGGGAGACGTGATAGGAATTTGTGAGCCAGGGGTTGCAACCGCAGGGAGGTGTGACTATCAGGGATATATTTTGTTTATGGTGCTCTTGAGGACTCTTGCTTTTTTTGCTATTCGGCGGATTACTTAACAGCTACTGTTTCATAAGAAAAGCAACTATCCATGGCACTTTTATCGCGGGAGCTGTCTTTAATTGACGCCGAAAATTCTGTTTGATTCTATTTATTTGCCTGATTCTGCCTGATTGAGGGCGCAGAGAACCTGCTTTGATAGAAGTGACCTTGCCGTGAGACTGCGTCCCAGTTTCTTTTTACTCATCCGTGGATCGTACTGCCTAACACTTCATTTTTTTTGCAGTTCTTGGTGAAAGTCGCGGACAAACTATTTCCGGAGTTCAAGCTGATGTGGTTAGTCGACGAAGTAAAGAGGAACCTGCCACGTGAACTTGATTTCCTTATGGAAGCGAAGAATGGCGATCGGTTAGCTGAAATGTTCAAGCATCTAAAATTTCTGAAGGTGGCTTCTTTTTTGGGCTGATCCTTTTGGCTCCGTTTACCTTTTACTACCCTACCCAACTCTTCTAGAATCAGGACATTTTCTTACCGACTTTTCTCTTCGAGGGCAGATTTCGCTGAAAACTTGTTTTCAAAGGTTATTCGACCTCCTCTACACGATTATCACAACCTCTTAACTCAAAATGTCGCCATAGCGCCTGCTGCAAACTTCCTCAAACCTCCATATCCGCTGAAAGCTTGTCTGTAGAAGTAGTTTAACCTCCTGAACAGGAATGTCACATCTGGATGACGAACGGCCAAACGAGTTGAGGATGAGAAAAGGGGTGCACGTGGCACCGCAGCCTGATTTTGCTCCTTTGCTATCCCTTTCGCCGGAATAGTGATCTTTTCATCTGTTGAGGCTGAACCTCACAAGGAGAATGATCACTGTCGCAGGCATCAGAAAGGGTGCTGTATTGTCAGCGCCACACGCCGAAGTAGATGTCTGTTGCGCAGACACCAAGCGATTTTGACTCGAGCGGATGTCAAACTACCGCTAAGGACAACATTCCAGCGAATTTTGAGCAAATTGGCGCCGACCCCTATGGCACGAGCGTCACACGGTTTCGTGCAGTATGTTGAACTGTTTCCGTGTACAAACTTCCAGCAAAATGTGGCAACGGAGAAAAAAGTCGGTAGAAGAACTGCCCTGATTTTGGAATATGGGGGCAGTGAAGGGTAAGCTGCGCCATCTTTTTTGCCTGCAGTTCTCTAGAGCTCTACGCAGGTGACTACTTTATGACATTTTGAAAGGCTCAGCCATTTACAGATACCTAAAATGTATTACGAGTACAGTACACCTCGTCTGCTTGTTATGGAATTTTGTGAAGGAGAGCACATAGATAATATCGATTACATGATCGAGAACAAAATCAATCGGCCTGATGTGAGTTTTTTGTTTTTCTCCATTTTTGTCATTGTCAGAGTCAAGGCTCACCTCGGGTGATGTTTAGTTACCTCATTCATTCCTCCATCGGCGGATATGTTGAAACCTTGTAAAAGGATTCACGGATTGTGATGCATTTAGCTGTGCTAACTTTTGTTCAAATGTCTATGGATTACCCGTTTTCTTTACTATTACACCAGACTTTACTTCCTGTGATTATATTCAAGTGGTTAAGACAGCTGCTCAAATTGTGAACTTCATCACGACGTAAACAAAAAGCTGTTGATATCCATGTGATAGTGATTTGATAGCAGCTATGCCGGCTACCCTTGGGAAGCTGCATTCGGAGGACTCCGTGTGCAAAATTGGGATTTCTGCACCGAAGATGAGAGCTTTTGTTCGTCCACAAACGGGGAATTAGCTCCGAAATTGGTGAGCCAATGTACAGACTGTACTTCTATGTGAATAACGTTGGTCCTATTTCACAGAGACTGCTTCAAATTCTCCCCCTCACTGTGTTATTGGCGCCCTCTGAGCAAATTGGTCAGCACAGTGGATTCTATTGGGGTACTGATTAGATCTGTAATCAAGTATTAGTTTGCATTCATCGTTCAGTAGCTGCTTTTAAAGTCAGAATTCAAAGTGACTGAGCCTTTTCGAAAGAACCGCCAAGGAAAAGACAACGGTACAAGCACGCGGATGAAGGCTCCTACAACGTCCTGGGTTAAAGTAGCAGCTGTTCAGTAGACTGAAAGCTCTATAATCAGCGAAGCTTGTTCAGGCCGCGTTCTGAAGATCTACCATTTCTTCTAAAGCTAATGTAGCCGTACATAATGAATTACAGTTCGTAACATTACAAAGAGGCGGAGGTTATGCTGTGGGAAGTGGCGCCCTTGCCGTTTGCGCGGTCCTGGGTTCGAATCCCAGGTCGACACCCGCCCAGGCCAACCAAGCCTTCTACCCTCCGGGGACGGTAAATTGGTACCAGATTCGTCTGGGAGGATAAAACACTGACTTGTACATCGGCTGGCCCCCGCAAGTCATTGTATAGGCCACATCGCATTCAATAAGCCACTACGATTCTGAATGGAAGTAGAATGCGTGCCGCATCCCACAAAGGGATTGATCAACGGCGAAGACTTTATCCTTTATCCTTTAACATTACAAAGATTTACAGATCTTATCGAAGCCACTCAGCAAAGCTTGATCTATCTTCCAGTTTTACAAGAGGGAAAAGGATAAGTTACTTGGCGAGCTAGCAGAATAGGTTCACCTCCTTCACCCAGAAGGCACCAGAGGCGAAAAAATGTTGTAAGAATAGCTGCGTCAAAATATGTCAATGTGGGGTAGGGTATGGATATTAATGCTGTTCATCTGGAACCTGCTTCTAGGTGTGTCGAAAGATGGGTCGGCTATACTCCGAGATGATTTTCATAAACGGGTATCTTCATTCTGATCCTCATCCTGGTAACGTACTCGTTAATAAGAAGCCTAATGGCGAGGTAGACATTGTCCTGCTCGATCATGGTCTTTATTTAGTGAGTGGTTTACCTATTTATTCATATTTTAATCACTCAGTTTTAATACCTCCAGGACATCGATGATCGCTTCAGAGGACTCTATGCGGACTTGTGGCTTGCCCTTTTAGCCCCTGATCCAGATAAACTGAAGGTAAGTTAGTTCTTATTCAAAGAAATAGTGTTCCTCTTGGCTGTGTCGATTGTCTGAGATTGCCTCAGCGGACGAGCACGGTTTCCTTATTCATCACTTGCTTTTGTTTCAGAGTGTGGCAGCGGAGATGGGAGTTGGTGAGCTCTACGGATTGTTCGCATGCATTGTTGCTCGACGCTCATGGAAAGCTGTATCGCAGGGCATTAAGAATAGGAAGATGGACAGCAGTGAGGTGACTGGGTTTTTCAAGTTGTGCTTGTTGGTTCTCACAATGATGCCGGAGGGGGATCTGGTGCAGTAGCAAGTGATGGCAGGGGTCAACTTGGCTCACACTTGGACCAATTCCTCCATCACTACGGGCTCGGATAATCACTTGAACATCAGCTAATCGTTAATGGCTAATTGTGTAACGTCACTCTCAGGGTTCTTGTCAACCGCAGAACCTCCAAATCTCTTTTTTCCTCTTTCCTCTTTTCCTTCCTTCCTTTCTTTCTATTCCGCACCTGGTCTCCGTCTACCTTGCTCCTTTACCTTATGGGCCAGTAGGTGCCACGAGAAAATACCTGTGGACTCTCGCAATGAGAGCATAACGATTGACAAGTGCCCTGTAAATCAAACAGAACGGAGGCTTATTTGTTGGCTTTTGTTGGTGTTTCACTAATGCAATATGTTGGCTCACACTAAGGAGATAGCATGCTTGGAGAACCTATTATACAGTCTTGTTCGGCTGCGATCGGACGGGGCGTGATCATGGGGAATGGATATGACTGCGTCCCGCCTGCCTTCGCTTCTCCCATCAGCTGTTACGGCGGATAAGTGACAAGACTTGGCTTATAAACGGACGCGATGCGAAGAATTTTGCATGGAAAAAAAAAAAAAAAAAATAGCCAGTGTTAGTCGACTTGCTTGCCTTCACAAGCTTGGGTGAAAGCGTTTTTTGCGCCGAGCTGGACCGCATACACCCCTAAGAGGCCCCATCATTCACAGTCTAACAAGACTGTATCATTAGTTAATTATTTATGTCTCCTTGCATGCTATTTTATTTTATTTACTTATGGTGTACGCAAAGCTGTACAAGCTAAAAGAAAAAGAATTTGAAAGAAGAGAGTGAATTCAACCAGCTTATTCGCACCTCTTTTTGGCGCAGCTGGTTGGGAAGGTAGTAATTTCGCAGTTACAAAAAAAATAAACTGAATTGAAAATAATTCTAGAGAACATTCTTTCTGCAGTTTTTGTTTTCAAAAGCTGAAAATTTTCTTTTCATAAGTTCCTTTGAATGTATTATCTTTGATCATGTTACTAATGTATGTCAAGGGGGTCATTCTAGGAGAGTAGCTCAGTTTCCGTGTTCGCCAACGTGCCGCTAGACGAAGTCGAACGAGGTCATTCTCCGTCCTCTGTGCTGCTTCAGTATAGGGAAGAGAAGTTTTCTCTATGGTCGTGCAGGGTACTATTGTATGAAAGGAGGCAATTGTCACTAAAGGGCTATTGACCCATTCCAGCGCCCTCTTAAATAATTGAGATTGAAGAAATTTGACGGGAGGTGTGCCTGGGAAACTGATGTTGTTTTCTCCGTGGCGGACTGAAATAGTTGCCTTTTCATTCAAATGCGAAATTAAGGCTTCAAACCTAAGCCCAGATAATCGGCTGGAGAAGCGAATCTATACCTGCTGACCTCCTTTAAAGGGGTTAGTGTATACAATTTTTCATGAGAGTTCAAGAAAATTGATTACTCCTACTTCTTCATTATAAGCCTTAGCCAGAAGCATGATTTGGGGGTATGTTGATAGGACTGCACCTTCTGTTGCGGTCGAAATATTGAAAAAAAAACTAAAATTAGTCAAACTTTTTCACCTTACAAGGACTTGTCAGCCCTAAAAAACTTTGTGTACTGGTCGCCATCTCACCGCGACAAAGCGTTTTCTCGCAGAGTTCTCGTTGACCACTTCAGTGACCCCGGTTACCTCTTACGATTGTCTAATTTTTATTGAGAGCATCATGTTCGAAACAAAGTGAGACCTGTTTAGAAAGATGAACTTCGCCTTTACGCAGCTTCTCTCATCCCACAGATCAGTGAGGTTCTACATAGAATGCCTCGCGAAATGCTTCATATCCTGAAGACAAATGACTTACTGAGGCATCTTGAGCATGTGCTAGGAATCGAGAATCGAGCTGACGCACATATCGAGGTAAGTCATCGGTTTATTTCATCGCTCAGCAATAGCGATTATAAAGGTGAAATGTGTGTTGGGGCGTTTTCACTAAAGCACAGTTCATTCTTGACGACAAGGGCAATTTAGTCGCACAATCTGAGAAGCGGGCGACCGCAACCTCCCACCCTCCTGCCCATTCTAATTGCTAATCGTTAGACCATTGCAACTGCTGACTAAATCGCATTTAAGAAGAACGCCCTTCGACCATTGCAGCGGCCCAACGTTGTTAGTGGAGCGCGGTCGGTCGCTTTCACGAGACAGATTGTTGTTGTTGTTGAACTACCTCTTTCCAAGTAGCCATGTTTCTATAAATCTACCTAGGATGAAAAAAGTGTCTGTTCGAAATGAAATGCATATTCATCTACGCGCCCTGAACGCGTATTACGAATTCGACTTCGACATGTGCCCGCCCCGCCCATTGTGGGCGGGGCCTAACTTTGCCTGTGTGCTTCGTATATCTTTGCCCGTGCCTCTCCAACTTGACCCACTTTATATATGCTGAAGACGCCTTATACTTCAGAAGATTTTTATAGATGTCGAAATGCGTAGTACGGACTCACTACGAGCTGCAACTCAAGGATCCTAACAGAAGCATTTGGGAAACGATACGGATTCGTTTAAGTTTGTTCTGGGCTTTGTTTAAGATTCGATCATATGAGTGGTATCTCATCACAATGGACACATTTTCGCTTAGGTTAGGTATGTAATGCTCTGATTGACCTCAGTTGTCCTTGTTAGTGCCATTTTCATAGTGTTCACTCCTAGTCACGCCTTTTTCGGAACGACTTCGTTCATGTATTTCGAAATTTGGCGTGAGATCCTTTCTCACGTCAAATTTAACATCCATGGACACTCGTTTTCTGAACAAGAGTAGCTCCGTCGGTATCAGATTACTGCCTAGAATGATTTCACTGTGTCTGTACACGTCAATCTTTTATCGGTTGTGGTTTTCACATTTTTCCCCACGATTGGGGATAATTGACATAATTCTTACATCTCGCTTTGACTTCATTTGGCGCTGATGTAGCACAGGTGCGGGGCTCAGTATGTGACATGTTAAGAGACAAATGACTTGCCATTAACATCACGAATAATGACTTGTATCAGAGATTCTCGCGATCAAGTATCACGAGCAGTCGGCGTTCAATTATGAACCAGCAGCTGAAGCAGCTCGGAAAGGAGTCGGCAGGTTAGAATTTGCATCGACGAGCATAGGAAATTACCCTACGACGCTCCAGGCAACACAATGCACACACGTAATTCCGCGTGTAAGCCGTTGTCTTGCAGAGTGAAAAGAGTATAGGGCGCAGTAGTCACGCGTCTGTGTCCTCTTTATCTCGCCGTTTTGAGTGACGGAAGTGGCACACTCTCGAGTGCGTACCCGAATGCCAAATGCATGGAGACATTTCACACATCACTTGATTGCGAGAGCTGTCTTTCAGACGTCATTGGCAATAAGACAATAGTTTTCCTGCATTTAGAGTGTTATGGTTCAAAGGTAGCGGAAGCTACTGGAAGGTAGCGGACCTGTGCTACACCTGCATCTTAAACTAAGCTAGAATTTCGCAGTTGATTAGCTCGAGTAAATGTGGCCAGAGAACTGTTTTATAAATTTCAGTGAGAACTTGTGATATTATGCTGTAGGAATTGTTTGCCGCTGTGTAACTTAACGTCCATAGAATCTTCGACGATATTTCTAACTACGCTTTGTTTGGAGCTTGAATATTCATTTCATTGCGCTGCTCTGGTTTGACTGTTCAATTTGCGCTTGATTTGCCTCAATTCAAATGCCTTAAAGGTCTGTGCACTCTCACTATTTTTTTATTTGTTTCACATTTAGTTCGTGCGCGTCAGAAATTGTGATATATAGCCAGATGAAGCGATGTTGATTCACGGTGATATACAGAATAGGTTTAAAGCTACGGAATACCTTACTTAACTCCATGATATGACAGTTTGCTGTTATTTATCATGTTGAGCTCAGATTTGAATAAATAGCTATATCTGAAACTTGCTTGCCATTTTGATCTAAATCGATGCTGATTCGTTCGGAATTTTTCATTTCTTCACTCGTTCTGGGTTTCGTCGCTAGTGTTGCCCTCGCCTTCAGCCTGCGTTCACACATTGCGACACTCACACTAAGAATCTATAGTTATAGATCTAGGAGTCAGCGGCAGCTCTTTTAGGCCTTGTGTCAGCGTACACGCAGCGGTATTCAGGCGACTAGGACCCCATAAGATATATTCGGTTTTGATGTACGCCAGTCGTTTTTTAGCGTTCTCGCGTCATAATATGCTGAAACCGCTGGTGTACCGCTCAATAACGCAGCTGATCGATACTTCCCACATAACTTCCCTACCGATCCACACTCACATGCTCAAATTGATATGCCTGATTAACGCTGCCGTACTGCTCAAAAACGCATACGCGAGTAGAACACCATTCTCCATACTTCAGTCTGAGATGTTATTAGGTTGGTGCGAAAAGTCCTGCCGACACTCTTGTTCTGAACTATTCTAGAAAAAGAATCAAAAATCATTTTGAAATAGTTTTATTGCGTCGATTAGGGAGAATGCTCTCTGAGGTCTTTCTGAAAATGGGTATATCATGGCTCCGTGGAAGTTTTCAAAGCTTAAACCTCAAAAAGATCGAGGTACTCCTCGACCTGTCCCATATTATGAGTTCCTGTAGGGCAACTCCCCCATAGTCGAGGAAGCTAACTCTTACGTTGTCTTAAGGAAGGATATCGCTTGCCATAGCAGAGAGTTCCTTTTGCATCAGCGCTTCCAGGCTGGACTTATTCAACTCGGAAGTAGGCAATGTATAGGTAGGCCACCAGCACAGAATGACGGCCCTTTACTCAAGGTTCTTGAGGCGCAGCCGAACGTAACCACCAGTAAGTAGGCAAACCTCTCTAGGCTCCACCTAACTGACAACTGCCATGCTTCTCCGCAGTCTCGTTTTTGGAAAAAATTTTTATGAAGGATGCCCCATGAGTTGAACCCCTCTGACAAGTCATACCGTATGACCGTGACTGTTTTTTTTTCCTTGTACACACTGGAGGAACTTTTGTGAGATCTTGTGGTTGGTAGAGAGTGGTGGGGTCCTTGCGTACATCTTGCACATGTTCCTCGCAGGATCTCTCGAACAGAAAAGTAGATTGCACAGCCAAAAGCACATGTGCATGGGAAAAGATTTCAGTAGGTTATTGGTGGGACTTCACCGGCTATGTCTGGATACTAGCAATAACGGTAAGGACTAGCAGTCCTCTTCTAACCGTGACGATCACAATATGGTGACGTCAAGCTTGGAATTCTCAAAATACTCATTTGTTCTCTAGACGCTCGGGCATCTGCGAAGACGCGGCATGTTTAAGCATCAGGCGCTACACCAAAAGATCGTGGATCTCGATCTGAGAATGCGACCATACCCAGCTTATTCATCAAAGTTAGCAGTCTCTAACTACTACCATTTTTGATCCCTACCTCATCCTTAAGAAGGCAAAAATTCCGAAAATCGACGTCTACTCAAAAATGAGGTCCACCTTCTTCTTATCATAGTTGCCGTAGTTCTAGAAGAATGGAAATGAGAAGCTGTGCAAAAGAAGGGCACTAGTCCTAGTCCTTAGTGGTGATAACCTTGTCGATTGGAGATGTCTTTTAGTGACTGAAAATTAGTCCGAAAAATTGTCAAAGTGTCGCAGACTTTTCGACAAACTATAGGTTGTCCGGAAAGGAATGCGCGTTGAATTTTTTGAACTTGTCCATTTTTTCTCTCCTACTATAGAAGATTTTTGGAGACAGTTTTGTCTATTAGAAAGAGATTTTTATTGTGCTTCTTTTGATATATTTTTGTCCATGTCTACTTTGCTTTTTTGGGGAAAAAAGTTGGGAAGAGCGGGTGCCGCACCAGCTGAGCGACGCAAACAAGGCAACACGAGGCAATGGCCGGAATTCTTCTTCGTCGCTCCAAGAACAGCGGTTTTTTCGACTCTATTATTACATCAAAGGTCTGCTTCGATAACGCAACGAGAAAAGGACAGTGGTTAGACTCCAGTGACCCTCCAAAACGGACTCCGAAACCTGATATACGCGGCAAAAAGGTGATGCTCCGTGTTTGGTGGAATAGCAAAGGTTTGATGTACTTTGAAGTTCCGGAATCGGGTCAGACGGTTACGGCGGACATCTGCAAACACCAATTGAACCGCATGGATCCAGCACCGCGTCTTCAAAGTGTCGAAACGACGTCGACAAAATTTATCCACGACAACGCTCCACATGTGGCGAAAATCACTCTAGAAAAATTGAGGAATTGGGCTGGAAAGTCCTGCCTCATCCCACACGATCAGACTGGCACCATCGATACCATTGTTACGCGTCGAGCAGAAATCCTGCCGAGAGAAATTCACAAACCGCGAAAAAGGTCCAACTCTGGGTGTCCAACTTCTTTGAGTCGCAGCCGGTCGAGTTCTTCAGAAGAGGAATCCATTTTTTGCATAAATGTTGACAACAAGTCATTGATACTAATGGAGATTGTCTTTTGAATTTATCTTGTTTAATTTCGTTTTTATAATAAAAAATTTTTTAAGCTCGAACGCGCATTCCTTTCCGGACAACCTAATATTTCGTCAGCCCATATCGGTATTGTTGTGGCGGTACTTACTTCGCATATGGGCAGTCTCCGAGTCGGAAGAAATGTTTCTAGCCAGCTGACTAAGTAGACACTGTCAGGGAGGAAGCTAGTTAACATGAGAGACGCAGGCGCAGAGAGAGTGGAGAGAGTTGACGCTTTGTGAATTGGGTCCTAGGGCGAGTGCTGCGTATGTCGCCTAGCTTGCAACGCCTATTTCGCCGCACTTATCACGACCCGGATGTAACGCTCCACACCCTCCGCTTGCCGTGTGCTATTCAATATCGCCGATTTTTTATTCAGACCGCATGCTCTTCAGACTTATTGTTCACCTTGGTTCTTTGCGCATCCTCCCATTTCGGGGAATCTCGACAGTCATCAACAACGTACGCCCACCATCTCCAGTCTTATAGTGGGATTTCGTTGGTATACGCCCAGCATCAGATCGCTTTCAGAACCCTGTCCAGTTACCCTTCATGTATCACCCAAAAAGTAGGGTCGTAATGATGGTCGCTGGTTACTGGTTGGAGAGTCAGATCTTCCTCAACTTATCTCTCAGGTATGACCCCTCATGGGGGACGTCATGCGGTGGGAAATTCTCAGCGGGGTCGTATTTGATCAGATCACAGCATCTTGTGTGAAACACATGCGGGGGGTGTGAGGTCGTACTATTGCTACTGGCGGGAGAGGATGGTCGTGCCTGTACCCAATTGGGGGGTGTCGTACTCGCACGGACATTTCGCACATGCCAATGCATAGATACTCTGCTGGTTGTGAATGGGGGTTCGGGGCTCTCTTTTGTCACAAGTATACCGGTTGTCGTCTCTATATGATGTCTACGGTACCAAATTTTAACTAAGAAGCTTTGCGTTGCCTTATGCAGGGTTTCAAGGTTAGACTCGTTCAATACTTATGAGAGTGACCGGTGACACAAGCTACCTATCCCCCGACAGCTATTCTCCTCTGTGACTCACTTTCCCGATTTACTGCTTTATCTCCTGACAGTTCCCCTTAATTCCCCTTCACAGTGCAGCTCGTATTTTCTAGGAATGATCGCACAGTTTAACGCTCCCCTTTAAAACTGGCCTCACTCTAGCGAGATTTGGCTTTATTGTGACGTGAGGAGGTAACCGCCCTCACCAGTCAACAACCTCCGCTGGATATGTTATAGTTGCATCCTTGACGGAGCAGATAACAGTACTTCTGCTTGATCTCTTCGAAGCCAGTGGACACGACGGCTTAGGGCGGGGCGGGTTAACTGCCAACGTCGATTGGTGGATAGCGGCGTGAGTGGTGCGACGTAGACCTGACGCCTCTCGTGCCCTTCCACTGGTTGCGATTGGGCTTTACCGCCCTGCCAGACATCTTACCCTGTGCATTTCAATCATCCGAATATCTTCTATTATACTTGCAGTGTCAACAGCTGTATAATCAGTCTGATATAACATCAGAGGTTCATGTCATTAAAACTGTTAGAAAATGGATCGATTAGGAGATCCTTTTGTCATTTTTACAACGCAGCACGGAATGTTACAACAATGGAGGGGACCTCAGGTGAATTCTTTTCACATATTTGTTTGTGTATTATGTTTTACGCGACTTTATTGCATCTAAAGGCAGTAGGCACGATTGCTGGGGCGGACGGTTGTTGCTGGCGTCATTGGAAGGGCTGCCAAAAGGTGCTTGGCCACACACCTCTCAGCTCTTCCACCAATGACTTCCTTCGACAACACCGCTTCCAGCCTTCGTGTTGCTCACTGCCTTGTCAGAGGGAGTATCGATTGCGTTTTCTTCCGCGAAATCTGTGGTTGGCTTCCATATTGTTGAAGCACTGTTGAAAATCGGGGCAGGATATGTGGTGAGTAAGCATTTCAAAGGATCCTCTGTAGAACTAGTATTGCCTCAGTAAGGATGCAATTACAGTACTCGAACTTAGCTCACCTACAGGGGAGATCCTTACCGTTTCAAGCTCGAACAAAAGCCTTTCTCTCTCTTTATAGAGTTTTTTCAGTTTCGATAACTGCTGTTCTGTTCAACGCCGCAGTGCGCGCTCCGTAAGTTATTACAAGAATGCTGAGATATTGGCAGAATTCGGACCCGGAACGGGACTTGAACCCGCATCTCCCGCCCCGGGCGGTAGCGTTATCCATTACGCTACCGGGGCCTCCTTTGCCTTCTCAGCTCATGTGGCATTTTGTGCCATAGCCATACTGCGGCGTTAAACAGCAGTTATCAAAACTAAAACAACTTTATAACATGTAAAAAGCCTTCAGCCTCGCGGTTTTTGCCGATATCTGCATGACGGTTCATCACTTAACGTCAGGTGAGCGCTGTAGGCCATTGGCACAAATGCCATTGAGCTGAGAAGGCAAAGGATGCCTCGGTAGCGTAAAGGATAAGGCAACCGCCCGGGAAGCGGGAGATGCGGGTTCAAGTCCCTTCCCGGGTCCGACTTTTGCCAATATCTCACCATTCTTGTGATAACTTTCTCCCTGTTATTCTCTGAACAATAAAGTCCTTTGAATGACTTTCGCTCCAAGATTAGTAGCGCCCATAGTCGTAATTCCTCGAATGGGAACTCAGCTAAAGATTCTCGATCATTTTTAGGCAACTCCGTCCCAGATCTTCGTGAGAGTATGGCTTTGCCTCCAAATTTCGACTACAGAGTATGGTTTCCTATGCATATGTCCGTGCAAATGAAAAAGATGGAGGGTAAACTACGTTCCGTTGACCTCATTGTCGAGGTAAAGTGAAGCATTTCCTTTTCCTCTCCCATACCCTACGCTTGGGAAGACGGTCAAGACAATCGTTAATTCTGGCAACAATCACTGGACGGTCGCATCGCGGCGGGGGGACGCCGGCACGCTCAATGTTCGGACTGATTCAAGTCTTGCTTTTATTCAATATTCGAAATGAAATTGCCAGGCTCAACTCGTCCCACGCGTGCGCGACGTCGCTCGCCACGCCCAGCGCGATATATTACGATTGTCTTATCACATAACCGCGATTTTTAATTAAAAAAAAAAAATAAAAAAAAACTGGTAGTGGTCTTTCTCACCTAGGTACATGAGTTGCCGTTTATCCCAATCAGTGGAAGAAACTCGACTTTTCTGAAACAGTTCTGCTCAATCCGACCACACGTGTTGGTAATGAATAAAATGGATCTCATCAATTTGAAGAAGTATAAGTGAGTGGAATAGATTTTTCCCACCAATTTCGTTTCTTTCCTTTCATTTTTTTTTCATTTTCGCTTTTCAATTTTTTCCATTTTCGGTTTTGTAGGTTTATTCGACATTTTGAAGGTGAACCTTAGCAGAAGCTTACCTCATCTTATAGTTTTCTGTTTTCGTCCACTCTTTATCCGTTCGTTTTATCTCTTTCAACGCAACAAACTGTTTTCCCCTTGGCATTTTTGTGTGGTACGTGGTGCATATGCTAGTAAAGTTGGGTCGGCGTGTGAATGCCAAATCTGGTCACGAGTTTCCTTTCAGACGACTCATGATGCTTCAAAGGTAGTGGGCAAGATTGTTAGGGGCGAGCGGTTGTCACCAATGTCATTAGTGGAAGGGCTGAGTAGGGTATGATGATGCCCTTTCAGCTCTGCAGCTCTTCCACCAATAACGTTGGCAGCAACTGCCCGCCTCCAATACTCGTGCCCTTTGCCTTTCGCGGTTCTTCTCCACTAGGGTTCAGTGTGGAGGCGATCTCTCAATTGATGGACGTTTTTACTGTTGTCGAGAAAGTTTCGAATGCTAAGCGGCTCGCTAGTGAAGGGGAAAAAATAGAGGAAGGTGTCGTAGAGCCGTCTTTGTAGGAGTCGATTTAGACTTTCAGATTGCAGAACAAAAGATAAGAGCACAGAAAAATACGTTACCTGAGATAGTCTACACATGCCAAACACTGGCATAGGCCTACTGGGCCTGAGTCATGTCATGTTACAGCTTTAAGTTATGCCCTTCTTACTACAGCCGTGGAAATGGCCCTGTTTCTATGATTGGAGACCTGGTTGTATGGAACACCAACTGCTGCATCGACTTCGCTAACAGAAAATGTGCGTTTAACGAGATTGATTAGCTATAGTGGCGATAGGTTCATGTACGAGACACTACCCCTCATTAATGCTGTAACCTGGCCCGCGTTTTTTCAGCTTTTTAGTGGAACTTCACCACTCCTCATTACTAGCTTGGGGAGCCTTCAAGAACATCGAGGGAGTAGCGAAGAAGACGAAGAACACCAAGCTCCGTGCCACCTCTTCGATTCCGCGGTCCTTCCTGCCTTGACGTACGCCTCAGAGACTTGGACTCTACGAAAGCAGGATGAGCATGCGGTTGGCGTTATTCAACGCGCCATCGAAAGCTCGGAGTTTCCCGCTACACGCAAGTGAGAGAGGGAATCCGGAGCTCCGCACTCCGCCGACGATCGAAGATCAGAGACGCCGCCGCATTTGCCAAGGTTTCGAAGATCAGGTGGGCCGGACACGTCATGCGTTTCGAGGACGACCGCTGGACCAGAGCAGTCACGAT